ATAATTAGTTAATTTGTTTATAAGGCCATAACTTGTAAACTATTCAACTTACCGATTACCGATTTCGTGTGAGTTATTAGACAGTGATAAGGAATGAAAGGATGCGATGCCAAAACGTTCTGGTAATAATAACGCAGTTTATAAATGTTTAATTCAAAAGTCATAAATAAATTTCTTCTGTTTATAACTTTTGATCTAATCAATATTTTTTGACGCTCGAAGACTAGTTTTGTAGGTCCTTTGAAGCCGAAAAAAAAAGTACTTTACTGTTTTCTCGTGGAAATGAAAAAAAAAGTTATAAGCGAAAAATCTGAGTTTACGTAAAAATTATCCTGAAAACAATCTTTTATCTTTTATAAGACAAAAGTCCTTGGATTTTTTTTCATGTATAAATTGCACCGGTCAAAATAGTGATAAATAATATATTTTATCCAGTTTTATGTTTGACTTTTAAAATATACTTTTCTATTTTTCTGCTATACCTATGTTTGTTATTTAAAACTTGGACAGGCATAAAAGAACTAGTAAAGTGAGTTGCACTTTAGTAATATTCAACTTCGCTTTATATCTTCTACCAAAAAAGCAGAATCAAACAGAAATTGAGGACTGATTTATGTTTATACAAGTTTGTGTAACTTAATATCAAAAAAGTTACTATAACAAGATTTATCTCGAAAATCATTTTTTCGTAAATTGTTACTGTTACGTAATTGCTAAGAATTTAACAGTTTTTCACGAAGGTCACTTTCCAAAGTGACAGAATTTCAGTCATTTACGAATATGTGAATTACATTTCAGAACCTAGATGTCTCTATTGGTTTTTGAAATATCGGGTTGCTAAGTTTTAAACTGAACAACCAGTATATCTAAAAAATATGTTTATATAAATATCATGTATTATTTTAATGGAAATTGTAGATTACAATAACTGTAACTTTCGTCGCTCATTTTCTCTCGAAAACTAAGTATCTTCTTAATTCGAGAAGATGGTTTAAAATATTTGAAATAAGGATGTGGTTAAGGGGTGACAAATGATGCCCGTAACTCAATCACATACTGTACACTAAATAAATAATAAGTTTAGAAATTATGAAATTTAGTAATTAATTATACTCGTATGTTGTCGTATTCCAAGTCTCTATCAGATTTCAAATTTACTCTCAGATTTCTATTAGGAACCAAAAAGTCTTCTCCGATTACCCTACTCATGTTAATCCCGGCCAAAGTAGAAACTCTTGTCTGAGGGGACCCAAAGTACCCTCCGCGAGAAGTAGAAGGCGCTGTATAAATAGAAAATACGAACTCCGAAAAATGCGAAATTCGAACTGGAAAATCGTCTAACACTCTTTTCAAGCGACAACAATTCAAAGAAGAGCAAAATTCAAAGAGGCTAATTGTCCGAAGCTAATGCGGACTTCGCTACGGGATCTCTGCGGATCCATCAAGGAATGCGATCAAATGTCGACACTGGTATCTGTAACCAAGAGCAGAACCTGACCAGTACGTGTGGTACGCTCTAAATTTATTGCCAGTTGAAGATCATAAATTCTATTTATTACATATCTCTTTGAGCAATAGGAGAAAAGTAGCGAAATTAGTCTAAAGGCTTGCGTTGTAAGGAAATGATGTACTCTAACAATGATCGCTGGCGATCGTTCTCATAATTTTATGGCAATGGNAATTAATAAATCTGCTCGAGACTTGGAATACGACAATAAGAGTATTCCTATTGTCGTATTCC